TTTACGTCATTGACTTAATTATTATTACCGATTGTGAGTAAGTATCTGTTCCATTACTTGTATTTTTAGCATAATTTCGATAATCAGACACCACTGTTTCCATGACTGCTTCTCTTTTCGAATAGCATAGGCAGATACGTCAGGCAGAGCTTCCAACGCTCCCGATTCTGTGCCAGAATATGAGCTTCCGCAGAAAACAACCGCAGTCTAAAGAATACTCCTTGCACCAGATTATTTTTGGCCTTCCTCTGAGTCATCTACCTGTCGGTAAAGCTAGTAGTAGTTCTTTCGACTTCCTTTCTGGAGGGATTCGCAACGCTTGTTTATACCGTCTGATCTGTCCATGGCAGGTTATTAAGTAACGTAATATTTTTAATGGTCAAGCAGTCTTTTAAATGGCGTGCAACTCATCCAAGGCCAGATTTATGGCTTATTGCATCATCCTTTACTATTAGTTGCCCGGGTGTATTTTAGAAGGTTACGGCTCCATGGTATCTCGCATTGCTTTGTCCCTGTGATTTATTAACTCTCATACAGTATTTCAGGAGCTGGTACTCTTTATATGCTACAGTATAGGCATCAAAAGCTGTTTATTGCACCCTTGTTTGTCAAATAACGAATGACTCCAAGACCAGATTTCATCAGAATTGCTTGCACCGCCTTTGCTGTTAGTTGCCTAGAGGGGCATTTAAGAAAACCATGGTTCCGTGATATTTGAGCACCTGCAGCGCCAGGTGCATTTCGCATCATTTTGTCTGCTGGATCCACCTTGCTTTCACTGTGTATGGTTTTACTGGAGCTGGTACTCCTTTTGATGCTACGTACTCCTTATACGCTGTGATAGATGATCATTTACTGGTATTTAATAGGTGTTGTAAAAAAATTTTTTCACTGCAAAGAATAATTGTTTATCGCGCTATTAAATCGACTTCGATGTTTTGATCTCTATCTCCGACTTTCTTCATTAGAAAGTGCACAATTGGCAAATGTTGTTTTGTGAGCCTAAAGGCCTGAATTAGTTTTTAACTG